TGGAGTTGCTAAAAGAAAATGGCCATGCTAGAAGTTGCTCGCATTGTGGTAATTCATTATAATATTTCCTGTGAGAATATTTGAAACCTCATTAATCTCCAAAAGAGCCCTTGAGAAGAGAARGGAGGTTCCAACATATATAGAGGGGAATTTGTCCAAGTTTAGCCGATGTGGGACTCTAACACGCCCCCTCCAACAGAGTCTAGATGGGCACTTATTGTTCCAGAGTGTCGAGAGGGGACTAGACGGGTGAAAGGCGAGGCGATTGCCCTAGAGTATCGAGTCCCTAGAGTGGTAGACCTTGGCTCTAATACCATGTGAGAATATATGAAACCTCAGATTAATCTYCAAAAGAGCCCTTGAGGAGAGAAGGGAGGTTCCAACATATATAAAGGGGAATTTGTCCAAGTCTAGCCGATGTAGGACTCTTAACATTTCCTATTGTTTCTAATCCTCCACCATTCTATCAGCGAAAAAAGTTAAAAAAACGACACTCTACTAGGAAGAGACTTAAGCGTCCCTCAAGTTTGCCTCCTATATCCTCCACTATTTCATAACCAAACTAAGATTCCTACTTCCCAGCAAAAATATAAAAGCACATTTACATACATTGACGMCTTTAAATATTCTATGTCACATAATGTTTCCTCTACTCATCTCCTTCGAGTCACTATGTTTTTGTTTCAGCCATGGTTCATAGTCATATCCTTCGTCATGTTTTTGAGGCTCTAGCAAATCCCGAGTGAAGGAACACAACGCATGAGGAATGTTTGTCCTGAAAAAGAATGGTATCTAGGATCTTGTTGAGCTTTCCAAGCTGGGAAGCACATGATTGAATGCAAACGGGTTTTCCAAAAAGCTGGATCCTGATGCCTCTTTGGCATGTCTAAAGGGTCAGTTGGTTGGTAAAGGCTACAGCCAAATATATGGTAAGGACTTCGATGAAACATTATATCGTTCAACATTTCTAACAAATAAAGCACTTGCGTTTTAACCTAGSAGGCTAAACAAACAAATGGGTTTGCACACAAAATGAAAGCAAATGCAACCACCACATGTCATCGTTCAAAAACTTTTGGCTTTAGTGGTCAAGATTTACATTTTTGGGTCATTAATTGACAGGCATATTTTTCAACTATGTGATAGATAGGAATTACGATATAAAGGATAYTCTAATCAATGACTACAGAAACCAGTAGAAATGTTTGATTTGACAACGTCATTTGAATCTCATTCACTTATTTGAGGATAAATATGAGTTGAATCAATAGCATACCAACAATTGGGAACACTCCTAAGGTAGTGCCAAGAGCTGTAGAGAATGCCAACTGCTTAGGCTCTGCTCCCCTAAAACCGAAGTGGCATATTATAAACAAAAACAAGTTAGTATCAACAAACCATTGTTCATTAACAATATATAGTAAGTCAACATAATTTGCAAACATACTCCCTCATCGCTTGCAGTATGAGTCAATCCTATTAGCATCAAATAACCAATCTTTTGGAATGAGGAAATAACATAAAAAGCCAACAAACTTTGGCCTTATAATCCATTTTTAMGGATGAATTTCAATATGCAAAGAGTTAGACAAGGTACTACCATATTTACAATTTGCTTGACACTTCGATTCATAATTTCGGACAGCACCAGTCTAAAAAGCTATTGTGGCACCGCAAAGATTAGGTTATTTTTTGCTATCTAGGCACTACAGAAAAAAGTCCTCTTTAACMACAGTATACATATAAAACACAATGAAGTGATACAGAAAACCAACTAACTTCCATGTTGCAACCTTTTTCCCCATTGAAATTGAATTACTAAATACAAGAAWGAAGATTAAAAAATCCACAAATTTTGTGCCTTTTGCCCCTCAAATAACAGAGTTGTTACTTCTCCATTAAAAGTGCATATCTAGTCACCTGGAAAACGTTTTAAGCTTCAGGGATAAAGTTGAACACTTTAGCATAAAAAACTTATAATTTTTTGATGTTAAAAGTAAAAAATCATAATGTACAACTCGTTTTTARCTTCTACTTAATAATGGATTTGATTTTTATTTTGATTTGAGGTCAACTACCACTCACCTTCAATATATTAACGAACACTTTAAGGTTTATTAGTATTGTTTCTAGTTACACATCTTATGTTAAACATTTAAGAAACAATAATTGTTTATTGAACTTTTTTTCACGTAATACCGTGAGTGTGTTTTCACTTGTCGACAAGAATATTTAAACAACTTACAACTCACATCAAAGAGGATATCAGTTGTATTGTAGTAATTCATATATAGACCTCAGAACCGAACACAGTTTCCGGTCAATTTGTGGAAATGTGGGGTTACAATATTTTTAATGTTCTAAATTAACCCCTATTGTTGATATTTGGGAGTTTAGTTTACGAAAATGATAACTTCAACTGAATTGCAAAAATATATATATTTACTGTGTTGATATCGTMGAACATCGAATTAAATCTGAGCTAATTGAAGAATAATGGCACGACTTGATCCGACAAACAAAGATATCCTGGARCAGATTGCTTCAAACAGATCGAAGAGAACAAAAAAGCAAAAAGAAAGAGCATATAATAACCTGCTAAGGATTTCCACAGCAGGCTCAACGACCTTCTTTTTAAGCCAGGTACCTATTCCTTGTAATCCAGACCGTCTCAGCAGATCCGCCATTTTTTTAAAACAAAAACGCTTTATGCCAGCTTGTGTTGCTTTCAAGTTCTTATAATTGATCAATCAAAGATGTAAACAATTTTTTTCTTAATCAAACCCCCGGTTCTCAATCAAAGGACTGATTGACTAACAATTTGATTGCGAGGAAAGCGTTGAATTTGGATTCAGATTCAACGAAATTTCTGCCAAGAAGAAGAATCTGATAAACCTSTCTCGTAAATTAGTTCGAATATTTTCTCGATCCAGTTCGGTTTCGTGTTTTGGATTATCTAAGATGTTCTTGTTGTTGCGTCAAATATACATATCACAACTCATTGGGCCAGAATGTCCACCTGGCCCATATTACTAAGTTTCAATTTAGGCCCCTGTACTTGTGTCGGGTTGAAAAAGCCATCCCTCTTCGTTTTAATTTTAAAAAAGAGTAAATTACGTTTTTAGTCCCTGTGGTTTGTTAAAAATTTCTATTTTCGTCTTAATTACGATTTTCATCTCTATGGTATATAATTTATTATGTTTTTCGTACTTATGATTTAAAATTTATTGTTTTTTTCGTTTCTATAGTTTTATTTTAGACCTTCATACTTAAAGGTAATGTTTTGACCTTAGGAACGAAAATAAAAATAAATTACAAATCATAGGGATGAAAATCACAACTTCAAAACTACAAAAACAAAATCTGCAAACTTTAACAAACCATGGAGACAAATACGTAATTTACTCGTTAAAAATTGGTTCATACTTTATTCATGTTTTTATTTTATGCAACGCGTTTTTAAGACTTTCACTTGGTACGTAATTAAGACACGATATTTTAAAAGTTTAAAATTTATCTTCTACCTAATAACATGTAGATGTCTATAAAGTTTTCCAGACACACATCTTCGGTATTTTTATCTTAAAAAGATTGGAAAGTTTGTAATATTTTTTTAATGAAATGAATATATTATTACAAATTTCACAATCGTTCCAGAAAAAATTAACGACGTAGTTTTTTTTTCTTAGTTGATATTAAAAATAAAGTAYCATGACGTCTCAGGTTCAAATCCAAGGAGGAATAAAAATCCTCTTGTGGCCACAGAGGTTCAAATGTGGCGACTCCGGGCTATCTGTAAAGCAGGTGGTCACCCTAGGATTAGTCAGCTCGCATAGCGGGTTGGATATCCAAGTTAATCAAAAAAAAAAAAGACAAACAAAGAACTTGATGGCACATCAACGGAACCGAAGAACTTAGCATTTACAAATTGTCTATAATATCATATAAAACGTCAATGGTATGTTGTCTATAAAGTAATAACTAAAAATCATCACCGCATTGAGAGTTATGGTTTGTTGCAAATTTCAAACATGAAAACTTGTTCCGTAATCCGCATAGATTAATAACAAAYAATGGAGTGAGTTTCATGCCTATAAAAGAAATAAAACTTTATCTCGTTTGGTTTATAGGAATGGAATGGATTTGAGGAATTTGGATTTTAAATCTATTTCAATCTCATGTTTGGTTTGTTGGATTGTCCGGATTTGAAATCCTATGATTTAATTGAAATSCTACAAACATAGGATGTTGAAATCCTTAGAGGGTGCTTGGAATTTCGTAGGATTATACGAAATAAAGTTTTAAAAAATRTTAAAAACATTTGTTTTGTAATAATCAATTAATAAAAATGTAATCTAATTATTTTTATAAATAATAAAATCCAATTTCATTCCAAAAACACATCATTGRTTTCAAATTYGTTTCAATCCAAATCCCTRAAAAACAATCCTACAAACCAAACAKATATGTTTCAAAGCGTCTCAATCAAATGTAATTGAAGTATTTGATTTCTTTTTGGCTATCTTGGTATACAATATAAAAATATGAGTTAGATATTTGGAGTTTGGATGTAATTGGGGGATGGCATAAGGATGTGTTTGGTGTTTAGCATATTACAAAACAAAACATTACAGAACATAATAATTATTCAATGTTTGGTAAGATAGAATTAGACAAAACAAAACAAGTAAAATGGTCAATTTACTCGTTATGAGTTATTTATATATTTTTATTAATTTATGTAATTTATTAAAGTGTAATAAAATAATTTTTTCATGCCAAAATATATCATTAGAAAATTTTCGTCAAACAATTAAAATGACATCAAAATAAAAAGTTTATGTAGTTTCCAATATTTATATTATCCCTTTTCTAYATTATTTTATTATTATTAATATATAATAAATTACATAATTTAAAAATAATATAGAAACCGTATAAAAATAATATTTTGAGAATAGTAAAATGAAAGTTAAGAAAACATAAAATACGATAATAAAATGTAAAAATGAGACATATTTGATGTTTTAAAATAGAATTAAATTTTTATTTTGAGATTATATTGGTAAAATATAAGTCGGTTTCACACGGTTCCAAAGGGTAGGGGTGAAATAGACTTGTTCCACTTTGTTCTTATMTGTTCCACATAAAAGTCCTACCAAACGTGGAACATGGATTCCTGTTTTATTATGTCATATTCTGTATTGTCCAATGTATCAAACGCATCCTAAGAGATTAGCGTGTACTTGTAATAAAAAAAAAATTCACATTGTTGATTTTTTCTTTAGATGTCCGTGTTTCCAAAAAAAAGTACGAAATCAAAATATTTAGGTTCCCTTTTGTTTGTAAGATTTTGAAATAGAATTTCATTTTAATCTCATGTTTACTTTATAAGATTTTTATAGTTGAAATATGAAGATTTCATTGAAAGCCTACATAAGTAGGATTTGAAATCCCATGGAGGTGGTTTGTATTTCATGGGTTTTATTTATATGTAATAATGKTTTAACATATGTTAAAAACATTTGTTGTATATTAATTTAATTAGTTCTATAAGTATTTGTAATTTATTTTTATATTATCATTATGAAGAATGGAATTCAATTAAATTCAAAATCCTACAAATCAAACACACTAGAGATTCTAAATCCTTACACAAAATCCAAATCCATCAAATAAAAAACCCCTTAGTATATTTGATCATTTATTTACAATTTACAATTTATAATTACAGATAATTATAACTTTTATTTTGCTCAAACGTAAATTTTAGATTGTATTTTTTTTAATAAGTAACTGCATTAATTTCACGTTGGCGGTTTACAATAGACTTTTATATCGTGTTGCATAGTAATGGTACACAACTAGTTAGGTGAAAGACGTACTTGAATGTTTGAGATGTTACATCTTAGACATCAAATAAAGGTGTTAAAAGTAATTACCTAAAATAAGAACCAAAACGAATTACATTCCATTTTCATCCAAATTGCACGAATTTTGTTTCTCTTCAGAACTGCCAAAGGGATCGGGTATTCGTTAAACACAATGTTCGTTAAAAATATATTGTTGTTTTAGATTAGGTGTATAATATCACGAGCTAATGTTGTTTTTGCATTTATATAAATGCATCGCAATTTTTATTCTCTCATCTAGTTCTTAAAACTGCTTTATGGGATTACAATTATGTGATCGTACGACATTGAATTTTACTGTGTAGCCTTCTAATTAGAACACACGCACATTTATGATGTGGTCTTATACCCAGCCCACAAGGATGATGATATTTTGATAYCCATTCGAGTCAAATCATAACTTTAGACATGTAAAATGAAGACTTTGACATTTATATATGTAAATATGAAACTAACATGAAGATGTTTRATTAGCACGTAAAGGGGTTCGGTTAACATCGAGTCACTCTTATCACTACAGATCTGGATCATACCCTATTTTCTCTTGGTATTACCTTAATTCTTGCGGCATTGYGATACAAAAACATCTTCTCGTATTTTCCATAATATGTTCGTGTTATCGAATTAAACACCTTTACGTACAACATGCAACCTAAGACCTACATATATAACACATAACATGAACTTGCAAACATATTTTCACATATAACTTATAAATAGTTGTTACTGTCTATCTTCTTTTAAAGCAGGCTTAGATTACTAGTATTTTTCTTCTGTGACAACATTAAGCCGTATATATACCACTTAGTAATATTTTAGTATCCTTTGATCAAGTAGTCATATTTTATTTACACTACAATAAAATTGGTTTTATAAAATGTCTAAATTGTCTAAGCGTCTTAATAGAATATTTTATAAAACTTAGATTTATAGGACCAAACTATAAATTATCCTACCTAAAAGCGTTATAGTAGGTTTAACGAACATTTTTAGGTTTTTAAACAAAATTTTTAGAACATTCTTAAAATAAAGTATTCTATTGGCTATTTTGTAGAACACCTTTGAGAAATGCGTCATATAAACCTATCTTTTTATAGAACACTTGTTTTTATAAGATTTTTTTTTCAAATAGTGTGGTATAAAATAGTTGATGTGACGTTTTATTTTAAAAGCTACTTRAAAACTTGTTAAAACATTTAGAAACGTCCTCTGCGGGGTTGTTTGTTTACCTCTTAATAGTTCCATTAAGAGGCAACCTCTAAATCTTTAAGAGGTGAATCTTGTTTGACAAAAAAAAATCTGTCTCTTAATGGTTCCAAAACCCTCTGAATGATTTTGCATCATGAGTCTCCCTTAACCATTAAGTGCCCTAATTTTATTGTAAACAATTATATTTCATTTTGACTATATCATGARAGCYTCTTAATYATTCTGACCACTTWATMATTTTGCATCAAATCATTCAGCAAYTTCCAAACAGCCCCTAAACCTATTTTGACACTTTTAGATATGATTTTTTTGGTCTTATCCTATAAACTTATCTATAATCAATACTATATTATAAAGCATTTGACAAAAACTCTTAAAACTCACTTCTTATGCGTAAAGTACTGTTTATTAATGTATATTACTTAAAACTCAAGATTACAAGTAAATTGTGCGTAAGTACAACTTATTAAAGCACCATATCTAAATTCGTGTAACTAACTGCAGATACACATAATCAAATACAGGATAAACATTTCATTTTAAATATAAAAAAATCTAAAATATAATTAGGATAATTATTGAGTTTTAACATAATACTTAATTATTATCTTTATAAAATGTTATATTATTAAACCACAAATAAATTTTTTTCGTTATTAAACTTAAATTAAATTATAATAATAAATTAAATTAAAGAAATTACACGAAAATGAGAACCTTTAAATAGTTGATTTGATATTAACATTGATATTTTTTTTCAAATTTTTATGATATTTTCAAATTTATATTTTATTCAAAAATAAAATCATTATTGCTTTCTTAAAAACACATAAAAT